CATTAATATAAACACCAGCAGGACCAGAAGTGTAGCCACAGATTTATCTTGGAAGTACATTAATATAAACACCAGCAAGACCAGAAGTGTAGCCACAGATTTATCTTGGGAAGTACATTAATATAAACACCAGCAGGACCAGAAGTGTAGCCACAGATTTATCTTGGGAAGTACATTAATATAAACACCAGCAGGACCAGAAGTGTAGCCACAGATTTATCTTGGAAGTACATTAATATAAACACCAGCAGGACCAGAAGTGTAGCCACAGATTTATCTTGGAAGTACATTAATATAAACACCAGCAGGACCAGAAGTGTAGCCACAGATTTATCTTGGAAGTACATTAATATAAACACCAGCAGGACCAGAAGTGTAGGTACAGATTTATCTTGGAAGTACATTAATATAAACACCAGCAGGACCAGAAGTGTAGCCACAGATTTATCTTGGAAGTACATTAATATAAACACCAGCAGGACCAGAAGTGTAGCCACAGATTTATCTTGGAAGTACATTAATATAAACACCAGCAGGACCAGAAGTGTAGGCCACAGATTTATCTTGGAAGTACATTAATATAAACACCAGCAGGACCAGAAGTGTAGCCACAGATTTATCTTGGAAGTACATTAATATAAACACCAGCAGGACCAGAAGTGTAGGTACAGAAGTACATTAATATGAACAAATAATAAAACCACAATATATGTATACAACGAACACCACATATGAGAAAATGCAAATTAGCCAACTTGGGTTTAGGTGACGAGATATTGGAGACATTTCAGGTATGTCCAACATAGCCCTATCTCAATCATATCTTGGTCAAATCGCAAGAAAATAAATCCCAGGGCTCTAAATTAATCTATGGGGATCTTCAGGTACCTAAATTGGTCGTTTTGTGGTAGGTAAGAGTCCAAGAGAGTGACGGAGAGATAAAGCAGGACCATGTCCACTTCACAGTTGAGATCTGAGGGTAACGCAAACAAACCCTGGTGGAGGACACCTTACAACACCTGAGATAAACACATCATGTATCCGGGTCAACCTTCAAATCTGGCTGGATTTCAGATATGCATATACCCTGGGAGTTTGCTGTGGACACACTTACCTTGACCCACTAAATACTTCTAGGTAAATGGGGAATGTTAATCAAGTCTCACTATGTATCTTAAACTTAAATTGCCCCATGGTTCTTATTGTACATCTGAAGCTATCAGGAATATGAACATCAAATTGTGAATGTTTACACCAAACATGATTATACCATTTAACAATGTAATATCTTATTGTATTACTGCCATATCTTAAGTTAATCCAATTAGCTCCTTAACACATATTTGTATATCAACAGTAAATATACTGAAACTGAAGAGCACTCACACAAAATATGGTAACTAATCAAACAAATCATCCGTAATCATCACTTATAGGACATATGGACAACATACATATAATATTTGTGGTTAATGTGTCAATATACATTTTTTGTATATAAACTATTTAACAATGTCAAACCTCCATCACAAGTGTAATATGGTCTTGTCCTAGCTATAGCTGATCTTGCATATTTGCCCAATTATGACAGACAACGAGGATATGTCCTAGTGAGTGAAGTGTGTGCAACTGTGCATGATACATCAACCAAACATGATTTTAATTTTTATATTTATGAATTTCTTTGTGAAATGAAAACAGATGTGGGATGAGATCTACTCAAGGCAGGAACATTTGCTTTGATGTGTCCGGTGTTTCAGTAGTAATCTTGGAGTTGGTGGGTACACTCTGCCAGCTTACAAAGCAACCTGGTCTAATTCTTCTTCCATAGCACAACTCCTGCTGTATTTCCACTTGGTCACACCCATCTCCTTATAACATACACCTTTTGTTGTGGCTTAAGGATGAATGCCACCTTTCACATTTGTACAGCTGATATGTGTTCTCCCTTAAAATCAATCATTATCTGCAGAAGCATGAATGTTTCTTCACAAATTATAACAATGATAGTGTTAGAACTATAATGCCTTAATTTTATTTATTGTCTTAAGGGTGTATGCTACCTTACACTTCATACCTCTAGTGTATAAGTCATTTCCCCTTAAATAAATGATCTTTTCAAGCATGTCACTTTTAAATCAAGAGTTTATGCATGCATAACTGTAAACCTTTCATTTTTGTCATATTAGACTCTCTTTATCATTATAGATGTAATATTGCTTACATGAATATTGCAGGAATTTTTATGTGCATGTAGCATCAATTAATTTACAAAGACCACATGATCTTAAATAAAAATTACTTACTTTGGAATAAATATGGGAGGGAGGGAGGGAGGTAAGGATGGAGGGACAGATGGATGGATATTCTTTATTTCTTCTTTTTCATAAAAGATCACAGCATTGAAATAAAGTCAGAAAGAATTACAAAACATGGAATTAAATCATAGAGCTGAGTTCATATCATTCAAAAAAAGTTTTTTTTTTTTCAGCCACAGTCACCATAAGGTCATCCCATTCAATATCCTACAATCTCCCAGCAGGAGGCTGGTCTGGTCCACTTCATCTAAGGCAGAAACTCAACATAGGCTTGGAGGTTTATAGAGTTTAACACCTTCTCTAAGAAAATATCTCCTTTTGAAAAAGCATGAGACATTCAATAATGAAGTGTTGTACAATGTTGTACACTTATCTTATCTTTGCACATGGCTTACAAATCACTTCCTATGCTTCCCAATTGAACAATAATTTTAGTGGATTGATGAGATCCCACATAAACCTACCATGTTTTTGACTCAAACACAGCAAGGATTGGGGCCATCTGTCCTATGAATAAGTGAGTGATGTTCTAGCTCACTCTTAGAACTTTCTCTCCACTTGCTGAACCAGTCTGATAGGAGTCTTTCAACAAAACACTTCTATGCATGTTTCGGAATTGGAATTGAACTCAGAACAGGCACTGTATTTGAAATTTGTAGATATGTTGCAAATATCTGGAATGAATCCTCGATATTTTGTCAATGGATATCTGTACAGGAAACTGCTAAGCCTTGTAATGAAAATCAGTTTCCACATAAAATCCATTGTCTCATTACAGAGTTTACTCCAGAACATCAACTTTCTTGTCTCTACTTCTCCGGAACTGTCATCCATACAGAGACATCTCATTGTAACAGCCAGCAATTGTTTCATTAAGCCAAGACAATGTCGACACCAATATCTTTGGGTTCTTTAAAACAACATGCTTCCTCAATCCCCATATTGGATTCAAGGCTTCTGGTAAAACAAATACCTGCAAACTTGGTGACTTTAGCCAATTGTAGATCCTTTTTCCAAGCTTACAAGGCACTAAACACTGGCTAGCATTTGATTTTCTTTGGCTGGTTGAAAAATTCATCACAGAGTTTTTTATGTGATAATGGTTCAGCCTCAATTTGCTAGCATACACATACACAATATCTACTTTATTTTGTAACATCGTTTTAGACGCTGCCAGTTGAAGTGTATCATCCACTAATAAAACACATGGTATGTGAAGACTACTAACTTTCAGTTCTTGGTTAAGCTCATCAAGATTAACGGTTTAGTCATTAATGATAACCAGAAAACACCACACAGATAATGTTCTTCCCTGACCGACGCCCTACAATACTGGGTACAACTCACTCTTCTTTCCGTCAAATAACACAGAAGAATTCACATCCTTAAAGGAGTCAAATAACAACCACCAAAATTTGCCATTAAATCCCAAATTGTACAACTTGTACATAAGCCCTTCGATCCAAACACTGTTGAATGCTTTCTCATTGCCCAAAAATGTGGTGATTCTCTTACGTTAAATGCTGCGGACAGAATCCTTGTTGTAGAGGATGAGGTAAAGACATACTAGACATCATGGAACACATTCAAAGATGTAACACTTTCTAAAGCGGCTTATAGAGAACAGGTGTCAGTGTTATGTATATGTAAATCAAAGAATTCATTAGCCATTCCAAGACATTTTTGTTTCCTGAATATACTGTTTATGTCATAAAAAGATTTTATCTAATAGGTTCATTTATAAAGAGAGTTTATGGACTTATTAAAGCTTTATATTTGGATATGAAAGGATGTTCACAAAAAATCCTAAACTTGCCACATAAATTCCACCTGAAACAAGAACCACTGTGCCTGGTAATACATCTACGGTTGTAACAAACACTTATAACATATTTTTTGTGATAAACAGGAATATTTATCGGTTGTAAGTAAAAACATCTTGTTGCATGCAAGCAAGCGTGTATGACATGACATTAAGTACTAGGTAATGCTATCTGAACCTAATATTTCCCCTTGTTAAATGCTCCCACTTTAGTAACAAAACAATAACAGTTGTGGTTTCATAAATTATCCATTTTCAGTACATTATTCAAATTTGTTTGTGTTATACCTGTTAGATATAATACAATATCTACTCATTACATACATGCAGGTGTCACATCTATTTACATGTTCATTGTAAACTCCGAGTCACTTTAAATCACGCAACTCCTTAGTATTATATGAGAAAGACGATACTGTACCACAGGTAATCCTAGGAAGTTGTTAGGAAGGAAGATGAGTAATATATCTTTTTAATAATCTGAAGGTATACGGTATTTTTTGTTTTGTATTTAATATAGTATAAGGCTAATGTCCTCATCACAATTTAAGTCATATAAAGACAGAACAATGAGAAAAAAAACACTCTCAGACCTAATCTTGATTATCATGAATTTCTATCTTTAAGCTCTGAATGATCCCTCAATTATCAAACAAGTAACAAACTTTATGTATACAGTTAACTAACTACTTTGGTCCTTGGTTACTGGGGTAGTTTATCAGGTGTCTTTGTTCATTGGAGTTTGTTTAATTTGCACTTTTGGGATTGTATCATATACATAGAATACCTTGGACTATTCCAAGTCTCTTTTGTTCCTAGGCATGATGTGCAGGCCTCTTTGATCTCTTAGAATGTTCTACTGGCCTCCATGATCTCTTGGAATGTTCTACTGGCCTCCATTATCTCTTGGAATGTTCTACTGGCCTCCATGATCTCTTAGGATATTCTGAAGGCCTTATTTGTCCCTGGAAATGTGATTTAGGCATCTTTGGTCCCTAGGGATATTCTGCAAACCTCTTTGGTCCTTGGAGATATGTTTTAGACCTCTTTCATCCCTCAAGATGTTCTGCAGGCCTCTTTGGTCTGTGAAGATATTCTGCAGGCCTCTTTGGTCTGTGAAGATATTCTGCAGACCTCTTTGGTCAGTGAAGATATTCTGCAGGCCTCTTTGGTCTGTGAAGATATTCTGTAGGCCTCTTTGGTCTGTGAAGATGTTCTGCAGACTTCTTTTTGTTTCATGTAAGCAGGGGTTATTTGTTTATTTGTTGGCAGTTTCATAATCTTGTAACCAAAAGGTGATTTGAAGAAGGTTACAGATGATGTGATCAATCAAGGACAACTGCTAAAATATCATAACTTGGACACAGTAGCATAAAAACCCAACCAAGCAACATTACACAGACAAAATCCACACCGTTTACTCATTTTTAAAGCTCAACATCAAGCAACGAGCAGCAAGTCTCAGACGACAGAATGTACCTTGGTCTTTTGCCTCTCTGGCAAATGCATCACACAAAGGTCAAAGACGGGGTTTTCGCCAAGTGAAGTATTTAGAGACTAAAAAGGTATGTTCAGATAAAGAGAGGATATAAAGATCTTAAAAGGATTTATAGTCCCCTCTTATGATCATGCCAACTGGGACAACAGGTGCAATTCTTACGCCAAACCAGCAGGGCAGAGGGATTATTTCAATGATGATTTAAGACACTTTCTACCTTTGGCAATAGAATTTTTCAAGAAGCTGAGAAACTGGCCAGTCTGTGTTGACATGTTGTGTCCATGGGAAAGACACTCTACCCTAATTGCTCTGAATGGCATGCAGTGGGCCTTCTGTATGTTGTTCAGTGAGGTAGCTACCAGCTAGAAGAAGGAGACCTCGCCTTAAAATGACCCGAACTTGTAACAGGGCAATAAACCAAGCAAATAAAAAAGTTCATCATTTGAAGCTTTTCAGCTAGTTTACTGACACTGATACTTTTATCTGGGAATGGTTTAGAATAGTAACTTTACACATACTTAAACTTTAATATATTGATTTAATTATGTCTAATACAGATGGAGTAAAGAGTCTAAAGAGACATGAATGGTAAAATGATATCCTTCTATTGTACTTGACAGTTCAGCAGTGACAGTAACTGTGAGAGTTAAAGAAGAAGAATTACACACAATTTTTTCCCCAGACAGGTAAAGTTCACTCTCATTACTTCTTTTAAACATGAATAGAAATATATTTTTTGTAATTTATTTCTCACCGTAGATAAAAGCAAGACAAATAAATTATAAAGCAGGAGGTACAACGCTAGCCTAGGCCATAAACCCACAGCTCCCACATGTTCACATTCCACACCTGGAATACATCAGAAATAGATTAGCAGCATTAAAAAGGTGACATCAACACTTCAGGTGATAAGCTAACACTTCTGGTACTCAAATGCAGAGACACAAGTCACAACACCCTTTTTCACCTGCATTTTTGGATCCCTGATAAAATTTTGTTTTTAACACTCTGGTGACTTTTCTTCTTTGTATAAATTTTGCCTCTTTATTATCAACATCCATCTTAGCATGAATATCAGGTTCTGCTAAAGTATATCTATACAAATAAGTCTACAATAATGATTTCTGATAACAGCTTCCTAAAATGGAATTTTAAATAGTATTTATATATTTTATATTTAGTATCAATATTTTACATTATTCCAGATCTCACACTTCATATTGACAGTTTAAACATATCATCAATTATACTGAATGGTAGGTTGAATTTTTTTGGTATACTGGCCATATGATAGCATATGGGTCCAATTATTATAATCTAATTAAGGATTCTATCTCAATTACTGCAGTAGGTCAGTTCTGAATCAAGATGAGGGGGTCTATGAACTTAGAACAGGTACTTAAATGTTCAACTAGGTTGTATGATCAAACATGCATGCTACAATGCAGTTGGACTTACATGCCTGACTGATTGTCATCCTGTACATTTTTGATATCTCAGTGGGCTGAATGATGAGGTTATTTCTTTTTAATGAAGGTGTCAAAGTTCACATCAAATAAGCAGTATTATGGAATCATTAAAGGTGATGTCTCTCACAGAACCAATATTTGGTAACAAATCAGGAGACATTCTGATAATTAAAAATATAAATGTATTTATTTCTCAGAAAAATAGAAGGGTTGGAATAATTTGTTGTCAGATATAGTTTATAAATACACATCTATAACAAGTTCTTGTAAATTGACATATAATGTACAAGGTAGGTGTTAATTGGATAATGAGTTATATGTATAATCAGGTAAAACAATGTCTGATTAATTGTTAGACAATCTCATATATCACCTGTCAGTCTACATATTTGTTTTGTCTTACACAGGTATGACAAAAATATCTCACCTGTGTCATAATATACTCTGTTCTGTTGTATAAAAGAAATAAATACAGTCTAATATAGATCTACAACACATGCTTGTGTTATGATGACTTAAGATATATAACAATACATTTTCATAGTACAGCTATAGATAAGAAGACTTCTATAAAATCCTTGTATACATGTACATTTACGGTAATGATACTACATATCTAATGACAATCCTACAAACTGCCAGACATTCAGATCAGCTCAAATGTTTGCTGATGAAGTCATAATGTTTTGTCTGTAGATAAACCAGACAGGATATGGCCTGTATATTGCATCACTTCATTAAACATTTCAACTCCCACATAAGTCAATGAGCAGACCAACTAACTCCTACAAAGGTCATCAACCGACTAAAAAATCCCACACAGGTCATAAATAGACCAAAAAATCCCACACAGGTCATACATAGACAAAAAAATCCCACACAGGTCATAAATAGACCAAAATACCATACAAAGTCATAAACAGGCTAAAAACTCACATAAAGGCCATAATTTGATCAATAACTCCCACACAGATCATACATGGATTCAAAACAATGTATACCAAAAATATAGGTGAGCAACAAACTAAAAAACTTCAGGAAAGGATATCAGAAGACCAGAAAAATCCCAAAAGATCATCAACAGACCGAAGAGTTGCATAAGAATAGTGACAGCAACAGACTAAAAACTCCCACAATGCTCAATGACAAACTAAAAACTCCCACAATGCTCAGTGACAAACTAAAAACTCCCACAATGCTCAGTGACAAAGTAAAAACTCACACAATGCTCAGTGACAAAGTAAAAACTCACACAATGCTCAGTGACAAAGTAAAAACTCACACAATGCCCAGCGACAGACCAAAATATTCCCCAAAAGGACAATAACAGACCAAAAAACTCACACAAAGCCCAGTAAAGTTAAAACATCAGTACAATAAGATTACATACCTTTATCAGCAGGTAGTAAACTTTTTACTGAATGTTCAGTGAAGTTTAAACACCAGTATGGTAAGATTACATACCTTTATCAGCAGGTAGTAAACTTTTGATGAAGTTTCAGTAAAGTTATCTTTATCAGCAGGTAGTAAACTTTTTATTGAAGTTTCAGTAAAGTAAAAGCACCAGTACGGTGAGATTACATACCTTTATCAGTAGGTAGTAAACTTTTTATTGAAGTTTCAGTAAAGTTAAAGCACAGGTACAGTAAGATTACATACCTTTATCAGCAGGTAGTAAACTTTTTATTGAAGTTTCGGTAAAGTTAAAGCACAGGTACAGTAAGATTACATACCTTTATCAGCAGGTAGTAAACTTTTTATTGAAGTTTCAGTAAAGTTAAAGCACAGGTACAGTAAGATTACATACCTTTATCAGCAGGTAGTAAACTTTTTATTGAAGTTTCAGTAAAGTAAAAGCACCAGTACGGTAAGAGTACATACCTTTATCAGCAGGTAGTAAACTTTTTATTGAAGTTTCAGTAAAGTTAAAGCACAGGTACAGTAAGATTACATACCTTTATCAGCAGGTAGTAAACTTTTTATTGAAGTTTCAGTAAAGTTAAAGCACCAGTATGGTAAGAGTACATACCTGTGTTGCCATGGGTACCTATTTTTGTCAAAATGTGAGTTGTACTTAGCCTGAATGGAAATATCAGTCTTTATCTAAATATGTACTTATGTGTAATAATAGAAGTATCACTCTAATCTTTGTAATCTATAGTCAAAGATGGAATGGCATGAACTGACAGTAACATTTTACATAGAATCCACATAAACAGCTGATTACCATACTTTACATATCAAATGTTGGTATCACTTTCTGTTGTATGGCGAGCTGTATCAAATCATGTGACCTGTATCAAATCATGTGACCTTCTTTACCCTTCAACATAGTCAAGTATATTATAGATATAAAGCATTACGAATATTGAAAAGATAAAAATTGTAAAAAAATATTAAGGTGATTTATATCTTATTCTACAATAAGGAATAGATGGGTGACTGGTCGTGCACATTCCATAATATGACAACAATCTACTGTATGACAATGGATAAACTATAATCCTTTTGTCCTTTTAGTGTAATCCAGCCCTTCACTATATCAGTACAGTTACTCAATACCCATCTGTTTATTCTCATTTCTCTTTTCAGCAAACGTAGACTTTTGTTTCTTGTTTTCAGTTCCACTACAGAAACTTCATTTTCTGTGCTTACTATGTCTTTTGTTACTTTCAAAAAAAAATCTATATTAAAGTTATGATTACACACATTCCCATAACACTTTTTCAAAAACATTTTTTAAAAATCATCTAACACAACCTTTTTTTTTTATCTTGTAGCAGGAAATATATAACCATAAGGGGTCTGAGAGACTTTGTCAAGATCTAACAGGGTTTTCTGTAATATAACAGAATTATCCCAGTAACCAATGAATTCTTTATTCGGACATTCCAGAGTGACCAGCAGTATCACACAGAGGTACATAGAGGTACTACATCAAAGGAGATGAAGGCTTAGTTATG